GGAAAGAGAGAGAAGAAACAGAAAACTGTATGTTAAACAAGAAGAAATAACTGCACAACCTATATACTAAAGGTTGGGAAATGAACAGGCTACAAAATATGGCCGAGCCTCATCAATAACATGCACAGCTTCAACATTAATATATTTCTGCTGTTTTCTCCACTAGTGTACCTCGTTCAGTCTAGTTTTAGATTTCATGCCTTATTTTTGTGTTTTTCAGGGATACTGTATGCAGTTGGAGGTTATGATGGAGCGACCAGGCAATGTTTGAGTACAGTCGAAGCTTACAATCCAAAAAGCAGCACATGGAGCTACATTGCAGAGATGGGCACGAGACGCAGTGGGGCGGGTGTGTGTGAACATTTGTGCATATTTGGTTTTCCTTAATTGTATATATTTTTATGGGATTTTTAAAATATGCACTAAATGACAGATATATGATTCTTAATGATTTTTTGCCAAGCAAGGCAAAAACACAGTTATATTTCTCTGTGCTGCAGTTACATAACCAAAATGAGACGGGAACATTGGGAACAACCCTGCATTTATAAAAGTGATCGCCACAGCTGTTATTTACTGTGCATCCAATATCTTCACAGGTGTAGGTGTGTTGAAAGGTTTACTGTATGCAGTTGGGGGACACGATGGCCCATTGGTGAGGAAGAGCTGTGAAGTTTATGATCCGGCCACCAACACGTGGCGACAAGTAGCTGACATGAATATGTGTCGGCGCAATGCAGGTAAGGGAAATGTTCTGTCTGCCAGAGGTCCTCAGGCGTGAGACGTTCCTCCTTTAAATGTTAATCTTCATTCTGTATGTGTGTGCGCTCAGGTGTGTGTGCTGTAAACAATGTACTGTATGTGGTGGGAGGAGATGATGGCAGCTGCAATTTGGCCTCCGTGGAGTTTTACAATCCAAACTCAGACAAGTGGACGTTACTGCCGACCTGTATGAGCACAGGACGGAGTTATGCAGGTCAGTATACAGGTCCACTGAGAGGCCACCTCTCATTTTCAGAAACTCTTTTTACATTCATACCTGCAAGCTGCCCAGTATAACCACAGGCTGACCTGTGGTTATACTGGGCAGCTCCACTGGAGCAACTGGGGTTAAGGGCCTTGCTCAAGGGCATCACTGTGGTGTTAATGAGGGTGGGGCAAGCAGTGCTTTATCAGCCCGATTTTGGTGGGACAGGAACTGAACCAGCCTCCTTCTGGTCACAAGTTTGCTTCTCTAACTTTTAGGCCACCACTGCTGCACTAACTTAATATTTTGGAACCAAATTTGCATTGTCTAAATTCATCATATAAATATGTTGTATAAATATAATTTAAAGAAGGGAAATAAATTAACAGTGTGAATTACTGCCCCATTGCCCCGCTCTATCCCAGGAATCATAATATAGCATCAATAAATTGAATTCAGTCGCACTCAGCTTAAGTTCAGTTCAATACAACTTCATATAGGGTGCTTGTATGCAGCAAGACAACAGATACATATGCATTCATTTGGCAGTTTATTAGGTACATCTATCTATAATAAATTCAGTTTTTGTTAAAACTGTTCTGGAGAGCGGCACCTAGCATAGCTGAGTAGTTTCAGCAGGCACCCTTGAATGGATGCACATTGCTGTTTGTGGCGTGTAGTTTGAATCTGGCCACAGACCCCTTGATCTCTTTCACCCTGCTATGATCATTTTGGAGGCTGTAGTCTGTGCTGCTGTTGAACTGTTTTTGTTATGCAGAGAGATGTTTCTGTTATTTAGCCCAGCCTGTTGTAAATGGGCTGGACAAAGTAATAGAAACATCTGTCAGTATAATGCAGTCCAGTTCAGCAGCACCACAAACTCCATCATTCAGAAGCACCGTACAGTTGAATCAACACCTCTTATTATCACCTTCAGTGAGCCATCTTAATGTTTGTTTGTTTTATCTACAGGTGTGACTGTGATTGACAAGCCGTTATGACTGCTCTTGACACCTGCCAATGATTAGGAGCAGTGTATTCTCCTGCGATCTCGGATCTGTCTATGATGCCAGTGCTTCAGTGTTAGGTAGCATTAGCACAGGCACTGACACCGATGAAGAAAATGATAAGATTGTTGAGGAGGACGATGACGATTTTTGCACTTACATGAGCAGGGGAAGCCGTAACAAATGGGAGGTTCAAACCCGTGTTTTAATTCCCTCCTGGCAGGAGTGCAGAAGTGACTGGACAAGTTTGAAGCACCACTGTACCACTGCAGTGCCACTGAAGTTCTGCTGATATGAAGCTACTATAGCTGCAAAGTTACTTATATTATTAGTAATGTTAACATGAACCAGCTGTGACGAAAACGACTGATCTATGGGAAAGGAAGGCAGAGAAGGACCATCTGGGACTGAAATCTTTGTTTCTCCCTTCTTTTTATCCTCTTGGAAAGTGTGTGTCTGAGTGTGTCTGTGTGTGTGTGCTTGCATATAAAGGTGCTCCATTGCTTGCACATGTGAGCATGTGTGTTTGTGTGCATCTACGTCTCTGTGTGACGATGCCTGATCCAACACTGCATGAACGCAGTCTGTCTGACCTCTGACCTTTACAGTGTTGCAGTGTGGCTGTTCAAGAGTGCCTGAATGTCAGACTACACCTTGCTTCCCTCTTCTCCTCTGATATGCCTCGAGTACTGTTACTGGACAGAACCTAGCTGGACTTGGCTGCTGTTTTGGGATAAAGAAATACATTTTGAGAACTAACTTTAGATTGGTGTGTCGGCCTGGATAAATTCAGAATGACCACACGAAAAGCCGTTGCAGGAAATGTTCATTTCCTTACAAAAAGCACTAACAAGACTGACTGGAGTACTAACTGTTCTGGTAAAGGAAAGCATCATTCATGTTGCCAAAAACAGTGACAGACAGAGGGCAAAGCCATTATGAGATGAAAACAGTTGTATGATTCAGTGCTTTACTGTCACCTGGCAGCCATCTTTGCTGTGGTTGTAACCACTAATGACAATAGCCTGAACTCATTGCATGATCCCATCTCTAATCTCTTATCCTTCTACCCTCTTGCCCGTCGGTGTAGCAGCCCTATTAACTACTGCACACCCTGACGTACTATGAATGTGCCAATTTTAACACATCTCTTCTTTCTGTGTCTTTTTATTGCTTTACTGATCTGTTCTCTTGTTCTGGAAAGTGACCAAACATTCTCTTGATTTTCTTTTTTTCTTCAGTCTTTTTCTCTTCCATCACCTCTTATATTAAACATTACTCTAATAGTAACTGGTGCCGCTGTTTCTTGTCAGTGTTTTGAGGAATGTCATGTAGGCTAATGACAATGTTTCATTACTTGTTTTTTATTATCATTAATAAATATGCTTCTTGTATTTAAAGCTGGTAAATGATATAATCCGTTTTTATTTTATTTTATTTTTTTTTGCCAAATCAGTAAAGCATTGAATTTAAATGTTCTCTGTGTGATATTCTGAAAATTGTACAGTGATAATATTAAACAGGTTGGGCATTTAACCTCTTAATTTTTTAATACTGACCAAAGTGTTTTTTTGTTTGTCTGTTTTTAAGGCTATTAAAAAAAAAAAGCTGGTGGTTCAACTGTGGGATCATTTTGGAAGTTTGCGGTTTGTGGTGCTGACAAGGGATTATATTTTTAGTTGTGAGGCTAGGCTAAATAACATAAACATCTCACTGTGGAAAGCAGTAGGCCTACACTTCAACAGCAGCATCAACTATCTTCCAAAATGACAATTCATTTCAATCAGTGCATCTATTTCAAGGACAACTCAACATTAACACCTTCATGAGGATTTATTGCAGGACTGTTATGTTAGACTGCATTGGATCTAGTGTATAAGATGTAATTTATGCATATTAATGTGGTTAGTATGAATTTTGCTGAAAAAACGACTGTTATAAATAGAAATTAGTTATTTAAAAAAATCTACTTTCTGTTGATTGGGGCTACTAAATAATAAGGTTTACTGGGTGAATTGTGATTCATTCTCTCTCAATTTATTTGTCAAAGCCTCTACGACATTTTTAAAACCTGACATTGACTCCCAAGTTCTCTGACCACCCTCTTCCTTTTCACTGTCTGTGCAACGCTGGACAAAGCTCGCCTCTGATTGGCTGTTGTTGCAGTAACCGTCCGTCTGACTATCATCGCTCCATTCAGTTAACCAATCAACGAGGCCGCCCGGCCCCCAACGTTAGACGCCTTCTCTTCTTGGCCCATCAGGGTTTATCAATATTACTGCACTTCACCACGTCGGGTGCCACTCGCTCAGGTAGACGGGACGTACCGCAGAAGAGTAAGTAAACATTTATAAGGGACTACAAGTAAGCTAGTGAGCTGAGTTTTTAACTGCACTGGCAAATGTTTATTCCTTTTCCAGCATATAAACCAAGAATGGGGCCAGGAAGCTCGATGTTCAGCTGTAAAATCTTGTAAAAGATACTTAAGGCATGTGTTACCTGTAGCACACCGTTTTTAAACGAATAAACACGCATCAGTTTCGGTGGGCAAATAGCTGTTATATTGGATCCTAATGGTTGAAGCAAAGAGAAATAGTAGGGTGTTTTTGTCGGCCTTTTGGTAAAGTTAATTCATTCTGTAAAGTCTTTTTGCACGATAATAAAAAAAAAACTTCAACGATACGGGGACTAAATCTTTTGGTAAAGTTAATTCATTCTGTAGTCTTTTGTGCACGATAATAATAAAAAACTTCAACGATACGGGGACTAAATAACTAGCTACATTTATTCAAGTACTGTATAAAGTGATACATTTTATGAGGATTTTTATTATATGCTTCATTGTTCTTACTCTGCTATATCTTTCAGGGAGGTAATATTGTTTTTTACTCCACTTTATTTTAACAAGTAACACTATATCTTTGGTTATATTAAACATATGATTACCTTATAAAATATGATAACTTGTGCTTTTACATTTGAAACTAAGTTGCTGATTATACTTCATTTTGAATCTATCATTTTTATTTGGAACACACTGTGTTATTACTACTTCTACCAATGTAATGAGTCTGACTACTTACTCAACTATTGTATGTTAGTAGTGTGTACAATATAATACATAGACATTAAAGGTCAGATGTTGTAGTTTCGCTGTTTTTTTTAGCAGTTTCTTTCTCGGCCTCTTGTTGATGCAAATTTTGTAAATTTTAAAAAACTAGATTAGAGTGGAGTAACATGACTAGAATAGTGATTGACTTGAGTAAGTCCAGCTGTAATTATAAGATATCTTTTCCAGTACTTTAAGTCTGTGAATGCTGTGTAATGTTATATGTACGGTAAATACCACAGATGTAACACCGTGTGCCTGTCTTCAGGTCTCCTCTTCAGACCTGCAGCCACCTTGCAGTCCACGATGGCAGTGAATGGTACCGCACACATCTTGAGCTCTGCCTACCTTGCAGTGGAATACATAGATGCGGTGCTACCAGAAAACCCCCTCCAGCCCTCTTTGAAACAGGCCTGGAACTACATGTTGGACAACTACACCAAGTTCCAGATTGCCACCTGGGGTTCTCTCATCATGCATGAGTTCCTCTTTGTCCTCTTCTGCCTGCCGGGTTTCCTCTTCCAGTTCATGCCCTTCATGCAGAAATACAAGATCCAACAGGTTTGTGTGTGGTTTTGGTCATTGGATGTGATTTTATTTTTACAGTCTGAGGTTGCTTGAAATAAACCTTCCCTTTGTTCATGTAGGACAAGCCAGAGACCTGGGAGAAACAGTGGAAATGTTTCAAGGTGCTGATATTCAACCATTTCTGTATCCAGCTACCTTTGATCTGTGGGACTTACTACTTCACTGAGTTCTTCAGCATCCCTTATGATTGGGACTCCATGCCACGCTGGTCAGTGTGATGACAGTAATACACATCTTAATGCATACCAAAGATATACACTGTGTGGACAACAGTACTGGAACATCTGACCATTACTCCAACAGGGACTTTAATGTCAGTGCTTTCAAATACATAGAGTTTAATATAGAGTTGGTCCCGTTTGCAGCCATAACAGCTTCCACTCTTCTTGCAAGGCTTTCCACAAGACTTTGGAGTGTCTCTGGGGGAATTTGTGCCCATTCATTCTGTAGAGCATTTATGAGGTCAGGCACTGATGTTGGATGAGAAGACCTGGCTCGCAATCTCCATTCCAGTTATCCCAGAGGTCTTGGATGGGGTTGAGGTCAAGGCTCTGTGTGGGCCAGTCAGGTTTTACCACACCAAACTCATCCAGCCATGTCTTTATGGACCCTGCTTTGTGCATTGGGGCACAGTCATGTTGGAATAGAAAAGGGCCTTCCCCAAACTGTTTCCACAAAGTAGAAAACATTGTCCAAAATGTCTCGGTATGCTGAAGTATTAAGATTGCCCTTCACTGGAAGTAAGGGGCCTAGCCCAAACCCTGGAAATTAGCCCCATACCATTATCCCTCCTCACCAAACTTCACAGTTGGCACATACTGCTGCTACACATGCATATTTATAGTTGTCACAATCAGGATGTGAGTGAAACGTGGACTAATATGACTTGACCAAAATATTTTCTTTAGGTAGTAGCAGATTTTTAAAAATATTCTTTTGACAAAATATTAAATAAATTGTACAAAACCCAAATAAGAACATGCAATGTCTGACAATAAATGAGGACATAAAGGAGTACAGTTACAAGGCTCTATTGTGATAACAATGTAAGAATTAAGTGGATAAATACAGTACAGTGTTTCAGGCTGGATGTGTTTGATTTTGTTAGATATAGGGTATATGTAAAGCAAGTGCATTTTTTTTTATTTATTCACATCTCTTAATGTCTTTTTTTGTTTTGTCAATGAGAAAAGCCCAATAAAAACATCCACTCTTTAGGGCAACTTTAGCTAATAGTAAGTTAGATGTTAAATACATGCTCATGCTACATAACTACTGTGTGGTTAAGGTAGCAGCCTGTCACACAGCCTCTGAGAAAATGTTGTTTTGCCTATTTTTTTACATCACCTGCAAAACAGTTCATATGAAAACCAGTGATATGTTCTCCATTATGTCTTTTTGTGGGCATGCTGTACAATAATGCACATTAATAATATTGTGGCGACCGCTGGCTGGGTTGAGGAGAGCTGGTCCAATCCTAACCTAACTGTGCAACTAACTATCCGGCTGTGTGCTGGCACCTAGGCTGACAATGAGGAGAACACCGTCTCTGTCTTTTCTTGGCTTTATTCAAGCATGCAAAAGCAAAAAAGAAAAGGATTGCAAAACGCAGCACTATGTGCTCACCAGAAAAAGTAACAAAACAGAACAGTACAGGTTTCTCCTCGAACTTTACCATCGCCCGTCAACAGAACCAACCACACACGCCCACCTGTCATCCCTCTTATACCCTCCCGCACCTGTTCCTCCACCAATCCCACATTGGCCAGAACAGCGCGGCATTTCGCAGAAAACAGCGGTAACCAATGCAAGCACATTATTCGAACATTACGGCTGCACCCACTTAACACAGAACAGAACATAAACATAAGCGGCTGGTCAGGGTCGCCACAATATGATATAGACAATTATTGGACATAATTTAGAAAATTTTCTATGTATTTGTATGTATAATACCATATGTTGTCATTATTACATGTTGTAATGCTGTGGGATGAAAAAACATTTCAAACTGTGCTAATGGCTTTATGTTAATTTTTATTGACTGGGATAATTCACTCACTTTTTCTCTGTCTCTCTCTTCTTCCAGGTCATACCTCCTGGCTCAGTGCTTTGGTTGTGCTGTTGTTGAGGACACCTGGCACTACTTTGTCCATCGCCTGTTGCATCATCGCAGGATCTACAAATACATTCACAAAGTCCACCATGAATTCACCGTGAGTAAAACACACAGGTGATAAGATAAACAAACGCAAATACACTGCTTTCTGGTTAATCTCTTAACTGCAAAATGACTTATTAGACATGCAGTAGTCCATGCACACACAGTCTCTCTGCTGTCCCCCAGGCTCCGTTTGGCATGCAAGCAGAATACGCCCATCCTGCTGAGACTCTCATCCTGGGCACTGGTTTCTTCATCGGCATCATAATCTCCTGTAACCATGTGTTCTTCCTCTGGGCCTGGTTGGCTTTCCGCCTACTGGAGACCATAGATGTCCACAGGTAGGACACATTAACAGTTTCTATATACATGTGCACACACTTTCTCATTTTGCACACACTTTTCATTTTGCCTTTCACTACAAATAAGGTTGAATGAGAAGGGTATGGTTATTAAGTAGGCTACTGACTTAGGGGGGTGACAGTGGTGCAGTGGGTAGAGTAGTCGTCTCCCAACCAGAAGGTTGCCTGCAGTCCACATGTCGAAGTGTCCTTGGGCAAGACACTGAACCCCCCAAGTTGCCCGTGATGGCGGCGCATATGCACGCAGCAGCCCAGGGCCCTCAGTTCCAAACAACATTTCGTTGTACGTGTCACAATGTTACAATGACAATAAAATAAAGCTTTCTCTTCTTCTAGTAGCTATTATATCAACTCTGTCAGTAACTTGTGAGGTTGACCACTAGGGGGCCTCACTCAGCACCAAATGTTAATGTCTTACATTACTAAGGTGAGGTTGAAATTCTTTCTTATAGTATAGGCTTATTAATTTGCATTTATACTTTAGTGTACCTTCTTTGCCATAATAAACGTATCATATCTTCAGTATCACCATTTGGTATTATTTTTGAATGAAAGGGTGGTTTACCTTTATTTCCTTCTTCTTCATTCTTCCTGTCAGCGGTTATTACATCCCTCTGAACCCGCTCCACCTCATCCCATTCTATGCCGGTTCTCATTTCCACGACTTCCACCACATGAACTTTACTGGAAACTACGCCTCCACCTTCACCTGGTGGGACAAGCTACTGAAAACAGATGACCAGTACAACAAGTACATGCAGAAAGAGGAAGACAAGAAGGAACATTAAAGTTCACACTAACACATCTGGTTTGTCAGGAGGAGAGAAGATGGTCTCACGGTGAGCACACAGAGTGTCTGCGTGCCTCTTAAAAATGCACACACTAAAGGTGTCTTTTAAGTGAACCAGCACTTCTTTAGTTTGATTCCAGATCAGTTTGTTGACTCCAGGCTCCCCTCTGTGCCTTTCTGCAAAATAAGTGTTGTTGTATGCCTCTGACAACAGCTGAATAACAAAAAAAACATCAAAAACATTTTGATTTGTCTTTATGATCAGTTACTTTGCTTGGCCTTTGAATGGGGAAAAGGCTGTACCATGGTTTTCTTGTGACACTCTTGTGTATGCCTCTGAATGTCTCAGCACTTTAGCACTTCCTCTTGAAGTTAAACTGAGTCACAGTCACACTGTTTTTACTCTGTTAAGATGCAGTTCAGTGGAAACTGTCTAATCTCAGTGGCAACTTCTGAAAGAAGTCAGCCGTGTTTGATGCAAATCCATGTAAATGTTTGAGAAAAGGGGGCTGGTTCATACAGAACAATTTAGACTGATGATAAATGGTTTTAATTTTTACAAAAATGAAGCCTTGAAGCTGCTTTGTTTTTCTCTTTTTGCCATATTAGAATAACATTTGAACAGGAATTTGGGTTTGTTGAGCTGCTTTATTGATTGAATGTGATCAGATCATGACACATTCAGTGTAGCACTGTATTATATAATTATATTATATATAATTGATATTGGTCAAATTATTTTCATTTTATATTATTCTTCAAGCTTCATATTTGTAATAATTTCTCCAATTATGTTGTGGAATACTTCTGATATGCCTCAAGTACTGTTACAGGACAGAACATAGCTGGACTTGGCTGCTGTTTGGGGATAAAGAAATGCATCTCTACAGAAATACCTAGCTGCTTTGTTCTTCTCTTTTTGCCACATTAGAATAAAATATTTGAACAGGAATTTGGTTTTGTTGAGCTGCTTTATCGATTGAATGTGATCAGATCACGGTACAGTATGTGTGCCACTGTACTGTGACAATTTAGTTTGTTATTGACACAGACACATCTATACAGAGGCTGGGAATACTCACAGTTCAAGCTTGGATGTCCATGTTTAATATCAGCTGCACAGATTGGAATCTGCTCAGCAAATGTTTTAATTCTGCAGTATAGACATAGTAAATGTGACTGATTTCATGAGGATAAACTATACATTCACTGGCCACTTTATTAGGTACACCTGTACAATTGTATGCAATTCAGTGCAACACTTTTGTCTTAAATTTGTTGGATTTACTTGATTGTAATGTGTATATCGATCCCACACAATGATAATGTGTCAAACCAACATAATTTCCTTCTGGGGTTGACTTGTTCCACTTATGTTAACAGAGGAAATATGAATGAATTGCGTTGCATATACTAGCATAATTTGTGTAAATCCAAAGACCCTGTGAGTCCTTTTTTCAGTGAGTGTTTATTTTATTTTGCACAGCAAGAATTTATTTGTAATAGCTTAATTTATTTTGATGTTCAGAACATAATGGACAGCCTTCATTTTGAAAATCATAACAGGATATTTCAACATTGTTTCTGGCTTCACACTGGAGGCTGAAAATCAGCCTGCGTTCAGGTACAGCAGCGCATCATACACACAGAGAGAGAGAGAGCGAGAGAGAGAGGAGGGATATTTATAGCCTAAAGCTAGGCTGCAGCACAGAGATAAGGCTTAGGACCAAGCCGCAGGCAGACGGCTTTGAGAAAAGGAGACACGCCAAAATGAAACAGTTCCTTTCGGTAGCTTTATTCGGGGCCGCAGTGGTCGCCCTGGTCGGCGCAGCCGGTAACGACGGTGAGATCTCCTTCGAGTACCACCGGTATGAGGAACTGCGGAAGGCGCTGGTCTCGGTGTGCCGACCATCACCCGCATCTACACCATCGGGGAGAGCTTCGAGGGCCGCGAGCTGCTGGTGCTGGAGATGTCCAACAACCCCGGGACGCACGAGCCTGGTCAGTTTTACGCACACATAATGCATTGAATGTGCACCTCATCCCGCTCCCATTGTCCTTGCTTTCCTTCATGATAGGAGCCCATGACCACACGCTGTGATAACACAAAACACATCACACACTATTGCGCATAGCAGCTTGATGATGCTCTTATTTTGCGTGAGGGTTATATATAGCAATGATCTCTGTGGCTGATGTTGCTTAAATGGTCAGAAATCGTCGGAGGAGGGGCGCAGGTGTGTCGTGTAGTCCGTGAGCGCAAGGCCTGCCGCATCATTTCAGAGGACTCTAGGTGACAGATTGTGGGATCAGCCACGCAAAGCCGCCATTTTGCTGGTTAATAAGAATGCAGTTGGGCCCGGGCATATTATGACTTCCCTTTATTTCCATCACATAGCTCCGAAGTGTGAGGACTGGACTGGAGGATGCAAGAAGCCCTAGAGTAGAAAACGTGATGTCAGAAAACGTGACATCTTTTGGTTTGAGGAACAGGCAGAGGAACTGCAAATGTAGACAAAAACCACTGAAGATTTTTGCAATGTCCCTTCCTCTTTTTCAAAAGTTACATCAGATTAGTGCAAAAAACACAAGTTAATTTTTATGTGAATATTCCTTCAAAGTCTATTTCAGGAGTATGGCTGCATTTTAAAATTTGTCACAGATAGACACACACACTAGCACACACTGTAACAGGGAGCTTCCAAAGCTTTTTGTAAATGGAGGATGGGCCTGCATTACCATAAGTAATAACTGAGAGTCATATTATCCGGAATGTTCCTTTACTTCTTCCATATTGTTTTATTTCAGACTGGCATTAAATGAGACAATATATACTTTGATTTTGTGGCGTTTTAGCTGTGTATTGTTTGTTTCTTAATGTCAGACTCTGTCTGGGACAAGGATAAAGGTAAATCCAGGATTATTGTACAATCTCTGAAGAAGTCTAAAGTGCAGCATTAATAAACTAATGAAAACAATGTAGTCTAATACATCAATCCTGCAATAGAAGGTGATATGTTATACAGATGTTTCTGTTTTTTAGCCTAGTGTAAATGGAATGGGGTGGACAAAATAAAAGAAACTGTCAGTATAATGTAATACAAAGCACCGCAAACTACAGTACCTGTCCAGATGTTGTCAACACATCAAGCCACACCACATATACTCAGACCAAGGTTTGAACCTCTAATGCTTCAGTTTATCTGCAACAAAGGTACACTGTGTACTCCCGATAGTGACAGGAACACTGTTGCAGCTCTACAGCCTGTATTACATTAAACCTTTTAGATGAACCTTTAATGACTGTCTGGGAACAGGTCAGTGATTTCTGCCCCCCCTCCCCAAGAAACTTGGCCTGTGATTACTGTTTGGTTTTCATTCCATTTTATATGCTGGTTTGCAGTACAGGCAGTGGTGTTTCAACTGCATGTGTCACATGATATTTTTGTGTAAAGGTGTATTTTTGTTCTCCTGCACTTACTAGTATACCACAGCTTTTGTGTGTGTTGCAACTCGTATGGTCACATAGTCTAATGACCATACATATGTACTAAATAAGCCTGTAATAGTGTGGTGGGTGTGCACAGGCATGAGTCACAGTAGCGATGTGGAGCCCTTATTACTACCAGATGAGTTTCCAAGCCGCTGCTTCACCAACAGGGGTGCTCCCTCCCTCTTCTATGCCGAGCAAAACATCTACAGAGAGAAGGAGGGGATGAAACGGAGGGCAACAGGCAGGAGAGCTCTAGAAAATGAAATGGCAAAGGAGAGAGAAGGGCAAAAAAGACGATGGTGTCAGTGTGAAGAGAGGAAAAGATGAATGTGTGTGAGAGACAATGAAAATAAAAAAAGAACCAGAAACATCTTTAAGCTTTTCTTCAGATGCCCTACCGATATATTATCTGACCCTGCAATGTGTTGAAACTCTAAGGTGGAGCTGAAATAGGTTGCTGGGGCAGCAGATTGCCTTATTGCTCCGAGCTAACAGTTGGCTGGCTGGATGGCTGATGCCTCTGTCAGTAAGCAACCATCTGTCATACACTGCGGCACTGGAACAACCTATAGCCATCACTGTAAACATGCTGGTTATTACACAGTGCATGCAGGGTAGGACAAGCAGCAGGAGAAAGTAATTGAGGATATTTAGTATTGTAGTTAAAGAAGGTGTAATCATTTTTATATCAACAGTGGCTTGTTATATGTGACAGGGGTTGCTTGTAGTGATGAACCCACAGCAATTTACAAAGGTGGAAAGTGACTACTGTAAATACATTTAGCTTCTCAAGTGCGGTACAGTTTTCTGGTATCTGTACTTTACTTGGGTATTTTCATTTTAGAGGCAAATATTGTACTGTTTACTCAACTACATTTATTGATAAGTTTAGTTACTTTCCCAGCAGCAGTAATTCAAATTCTAAGCATATTAGGTAGTTTGTTCCTGTCAGACAGTGAGGTTAGCTGTTGCTAAGCTGAGCTAACTGTTAGTGAGCTAAGCTAACTGGCAGCTGCCTGTAGCTTCCACTACACTTCAAAAGGACATCTTGTAATTTTACTGCTATTCATCTATCTGATTGCTATAGTTTCTACCTTTTCAAATGATTTTTTCATATTTTTTCATGGTGTACATGACAGACTATAACATAATTATACTTCGCAAGATTAAAATGTCTCATTGACCGCTTTTCTTTCGCAAGATTAAAATGTCTCATTGACCATGTGAAATGGACTTTAGCTAAACTTGTTTGATTTTCATGTCTGGAGCCATTTACAAGGCTTCTAATGTGAGGAGAAACTCCATCTTGTAATGGTTTTGGCTTGGTCTCAAGGTGGAAAGAAATCATGAATGTATGAGGTACTAAGACTCTACACTGGACCGTTTTATCAGATGACAGAGGAAGCATATAATCCCCACTGAGCACGCACACAGATGCTGAAGTGTGTAGCAGCTAGAAACACTATTGGATATGGTCATATCAAATGACATATGGTGTAATGAAACATGTTTTTA